CATAAAAGTTAACTATATATGAAATCATTATAATAAAATAAAAATTAAAAAATATAATATGATAAATATCTATATAATATATAAAAGGTAATCTCCTTCAAAAATTATTATAATGTCTCTGTAACTATTTGATTTAAACTTCTCTGTAGTTAGGATTAAACCTTTGGCATTTTGCTAGTAAGATTCAAACATTTTATTTGTTACAAATCAAGATTCGAACTTTGCAAATTTTTTCATTTAAACAAAGAGTTAATACGTGTCCCCACACTCCATTTGGTTATGTGAGTGATTGAATACATAAGATGACATGTAATATTTGAAGTACTAAATATTTAATTTTTAGTATTAAATTTGATAGATACTAAATATGATTTATAAAAATTATTTGATATTTTATTAAAAAATAAAGTTTGAATGCTAATGTATTTATATTACTAGAAAGGTACTCATGTGTAGCCATGGGTAAATTTGTCAATTCATATATTTGAGTTATGTAAAACAGATGAAATTTGTATATTCGTATCATATTTTATATGAAAATTGTGGGTCACAATTTATGTCGATATGAAAAATATAAATTACATTTTTGGGTTTTTGTTAAGCCCATATATGTTTTTTGCTAAAATTTTAATCCATGTCATTTTCATATTTTTTTCATATCATTTTCGTATTGTATCACCTTATCATATTTTAAATTATTTGATCTAGCCACATATCAAAATCTTTTTGCTTGCCATATCTATTAAATCAACATTATAAAAAATATATATATAGATCATTTAAATAATCTACAATACTAAAGCAACCTTGAACAACAATCATTATTAGAGAGTTTTGGATATAAATTATCAAAATATTTAATTTATTTCCTAACCCAAATCTTGATCTTTGTTCATATCATTAATATGATTGAATATATTAAAGTCATAACTTTTGATTATTTTCATTAAATATATTCAATGAATGCTTTCAAAGGCATAGTTGAACATCAAATGACTGTAAAAATCTCATTTGGTGAAAACTAGAAATTAATCTGCCACTGGTCAAATTCTTTATTGCAACAACCTTCAACCCTAACTAGTGCTTCACAAATCCTTTTTGTGTTTTTGATTCCCCTTGAATTGGGATTATGCTTTATCTAATTGGAATTGAGTAACAATTCTTGAATTTTGTAACTTAAATGAGAAAAAAAAATCTTAAAATGACCAATCCAAGTGTTGCCATAATGCAGTCAAGCTAACTTAATAGAAATTGATTAAAAAAAAATTATTTGACCAAGCACAATAGTTGTATCAATGCTCGTTAATTCGGGGTCCAAGTTTCTTCCATCAAGATGCTTATTATACCAGCAAACAAACTCTTTAGCCAATGTACCCCCTTCAGTTTTTATATAAAAAATTTACATCAAAAATTTTTTTTAAGCAATGTATTGATTTCATTATCATAAGACATAGTAAAAGTTAAAAAAAAAAAATTGTGAAATTTTTAAGCCTATTCCTCCAAACAATAAAAAATTTAGGAAAAAATCTCAAAATGAGGAAAAAATAACAAATAACTTACCAATCAAAACCCATTTTCTTTAATCTTCCTTCTATCATTTTCTTGTTTCTATTTCTTTCGATCCCATCTAAAATTACCAACAATTGGTAATTGCCTCATTTGAGTTCTTAGACAATGAAGAGTTGATCTTGGATATAATAGACTTGCAAGTCAAGCATTTGAAGGTGAGAAGCCTATGGGAACGGTAAGAGAAATCACAATCAAAGAGAATGGAAAATAATTATTGGCCTAAGCTCTAATGATGCATACAATGGCAATAGATGGCCCTTATTCTTGCAAAAACATGCAATCTTTGATGAGGAATTTGTGAGATTGGAGTTTAGGTTTTGAGGTGAAAAAAAAATTAGGATTGTGAAGGTGGTTGAAAAAGGCCTTTATTGGTTTTAAGTAGGAATTGAAAAGAGATGGAAAAAGTTTTAGGAAAAGTAGATAAAGATAGGATTGTGGTGGCGGTTGGAGTGATGCTACTGGTTTTGGGAGCTCTAAATAGACCTGATTTTGTTTTTTTAAATGCACCACACTTTTTTTTTCAAATGTTTTATAAGTGAAATTACTTAAATACCTTTTTTATGGAGATCTGCACCCCACCTACGAGGTATTGTCCGCTTTAACTCGAAGGTCTCATAATTTTGTCCTACAAAAAGCGTCTCGCAAGTTTAAGATTAAGTCTCTACATATATATCATTCTTTATCCATACATCCTTTCGATGTGGGATTGGGGGCTTACAATCTTCCCACCTTTAATGCTTGACATCCCTGTCAAGCCGAATCTATCCACAGAAAAAAGATCACATCAGGCCACCGTATAGCATTTAGTGACTCCTACGGTCGCTAACTGGTGACCATTCTGATTTCATTTGTGAAGACTCGCACCCAACCTGTGAGGTATTGTCCGTTTTTACCAGAATGTCTCACATTTTTGTCTCATAAAAGGTACATCACAGGTTGGGTACGGATTTTCACAAATGCTCATAAGTTTTTGAATATTTATCATTTTTGAAAAGTCATAACACTTCTCAGAAATGCATTTTCGAGAAGTCATAACATTTATTGAAAATGCATTTTTGAAAGTGAAAAAGTAAAAATTTAAGAAAAACTACAAAAAAAATTTATTAAAATTATTTATATAATTGTGTAATGAAAAAAGTTATTATTAAAATAATCATAAATTTTAAAATTAATAAAAAAATTACTTTTATGATTTTAATTTTAGAAAAAAAAAATAAAATCTTATGAGGTTCAAATTAAATATTTTATTTGTTAATGTTACGAAGGGTGATAAAAAAATTATCAAGTTTGATCAACAAATAAGAGCTGAAACTCTTTAAAACTGTATAAAGAATACTACTGAATAATATACAATTTTGTTAAAATGCTACAAAATCACCATTGCTATGTCTTCGACCTCGTATGAATTTGAGAACCGATAGAAAGGGAGTTGGAAAAATTAAAACTATCTCGAAATTAGAGATTTTGTTTACAAGTATTGCATGCTTTATAAATAATGATGGAGGATAAGTAGTACAATTAAATACTATACAATTTTGGCAAAATCTAATATGCTAATTGGAGAAACCCATCATGATAAGTAAATGGAGAAATTTCTTTAAGGAGTTTAGTGTAATTAAAACTATTATAATATTTTAATAATCGATAAAAAAATTTATTAAAAAATAATAAATTTTAATTTTATAAAAAAATATATTTGTTATTTTATCTTTAATTGAAGTATGATCTCATAAGATATTACTTTTTCTTTAAGATGAAAATAGTAAAAATAATTTTATATTAATTTTAAAATTTATGATTTTGTTAATAATAATTTTTTTATTATACCTATTTACAAATAATTTTAATAATTTTTTCTGGTAATTTTTCATAAAATTTCAATTTTGCACTCTCGAAAATGTATTTTTGAGAAGTGTTATGATTTCTCGAAAATATATTTCCATGATGTGTTATGATTTTTGGAAAATAAATTTTCAAAACTTATAAAATTTATGATATGAGTACTATAGTAATTTCACTTAAAAAATTAAAAAAAAAATGAGGTGTATAGAAAAAAACGTAGGTGTATCAAGAATTCCCCATGGTTTTGTTGCTCTACTCAAAGAATGCCATCTAAATTTCTTTATTACCCTTTGCGTTTGACGAAATTCCTTTGTTGTCCTTGGACAAATGTCACTCAAATAAATGTCTACAGTGAAGCTGTTGAGAAAAGTATATGAGTTAGATATTTTTATGTAAACCAAATTCTACTCCTACTCCTACTAGAATTGAAAATTTCTTTCCGAACTTGATTAATAGATTAACTAGAGATGTAAATGAATAGAGGTTTTTTATGAATTATTTGTGAATATATTTAATTTTTATTTATATATATTTATTTATTAAATTTAATAAATAATTTTGAATAATATTATATTTATTTAATAAACGAATTAAACATTAATTGAGATTTATTTCATTCATTTATATTTGGGAATAAGTTCATTTAACGATTAAGAATAATTTTAATAAATATTTTTTTATATTTTATTTTTATTCATTTTAAGATAACTACTTTATGATTAAATATTTTTTAATAAGATTTTAATTATAATTTAATATTAATACATTGAAAAGTATACTTAACGTATATTAAAATATTTCACAACTTAAAAAAAAAGCATTATTGTAAATATAATTTTTAATCTCTTAAAATTGATAAGTTATAGATGGAACTTTTTGTTTATAGCCTTTCTATCCCACATAGCTTGGAAAATCAATGTAGGAAGGGAAACTCTTTGTTAAGGAAAACCAATGTAGGGAAGGAAACTCTTTGTAAAGGAAAACAAAGGAAACTCTTTATAAATAAGCATGTTTCCTTCACTTTTAAGAGACCAAATTATTGGTCAGCAAGATTAATTTCTTAATTATTCATTTATATTTATTTATATATTCATGAACATATTTATTTAATATTTATAAATAAATTTATTTAATTTAAACAAATAGGTCTCAAATTAAGTTTAAATATTTTAATATCCAAACGAATCAAACTTAAACATAGTGTTTGAATTTTTCACAAACACAAGTAACCCTAAAAATAAACAAACGAACCACTAACGTTGCAATGTTTAGTTAGTTTACACCCCTAAGTATAGCTGATCCTCTTCTGTTATTTTTTCTTTTCATTCTCGTCGAGAATCCATCGACTCAAAAACCTTTAGTTTTCTATAATTTTTTTTCTATCAATTGTATGCTTAAAACAATCATAATGTTGATAATATCTGTATGATTTGTTGGTATGGTACTGCCATTAAACTTTTAATTTCAGTGATGATTTAAATCTTGATATCTTCAAATTCAAATATATATATATATATAAATATAATATATATATTTATATATATATAAAGCCTTAATGTTTTAGACTCATTGGACCACTCTTTGATCATATGCTTGCCGAGTTAATGGTTGTGTGTGCATAATCATCTCATGAAAAGGAGGAGATATTTCGGGGAGATCATAATCTTTGTAACGTTTATAGCAGATAAATCTTTTTTTTTTTAATCTTACATACTTTAAGCCAGAGAAAATTGTAGGAGAAGGAAGAGGCCTTAGACAGGTTTTAGCAGCCTTGTGTCTGCAAGCTGAATAGCAGAGGAATAAGACCTATTCATTGCTATGGTCTGCATTGCAGAGACAAAAAGGAACATGCTTTTGCCAGCCAATGTTGCTTTCACGTCCCACTAACAAAAGGGTACTTCAGGTTATAACAAAAAATTCCAAAACATAGTCAGAGTCATGGCAGATTATATTATCCTCTATACTTTTGGTTTTAAAATATAGAATGAAGTCAGCAAAACAGGACAACCAAAGACTAATAGCTATATTTTACACTTACTTGAAATAAAAAAACAGTAACCAGATTATTAAACACAGCAAAACATGAAATCTGAACAGAAATATTTTCAGAAGGAATACAGCCTTAAAACCATGATTTGCCAACTTAATTGTCAGATATATAAACTGTCATGTTCCTTTCAAATATATTGTTCACCTCACAGAAAAAAGGGGGAGCCACTAACCTACTTTTGCCAGGATATCACTTGCAGACTTCTGATCCTTTACCATATGCCTGAGTAATATATCCATGATATATTTGCAGAGTTAGAGGTGGATCCAAAGCATGAAGTAGGATGTCAATGGACACCTCTAAAGGTTAAGGTTGAAAAATCTGTCCGCTGCTGTGCAGAGCATCCACCAAATTTTACTTTCTCTACATTCCGCACGGGTAAGAACTAACTGATGATATGATGCATACAGGACAAAGGTGAACATAAAAAAACACTCTTTCAAAAGAGAAGTCTCTTAATCATGGCTTCCATAAACCTGCCAAGCCTGCAAATCTGTCCGGTGCTTTTCTGGTTTGTTCTCACAGCACAGTAAAAAAATAGTAAATGGCAGTGCAAATGTTAGATTATCAAGGAAACTCCTTTTCCAGTAAAATCATTAGCAAAAGCAGCGGGAGAAAGAAGCAATCCGATTTCTTTTATCACTTCTTTTTTTTTCTTCTTTTACATTTCCTCTATCACTTTGGTAATGAGTATCCATCAAACCCTTTACTTCTCTTTGCATTTCAAACAAAAAGTAAGCACCCTAATGGTTATATAGACCATAATTCATCTTCTTTTTAACTCATCAAAATATTTCCTAAAATAACGAAAGAATCATCATGAATAAAACAATCTTCAAGTACCCATTTAGGCAGCTCTTGATAGTGCAAGTTCATCCTGCAAAACCAAAATGATCTATCATTATCACCTAAGTAAGCTAAATTTTACTTTTAAGTATAAGAAGTAATCACCTGTAATGAAAAGTGCACTAAGAATTATCAATATCCTACAGAGCTTTTGAGATGCCATAGATGTGGTTGTTTTTTAATCAGTTAACTTAATTATGCATTGAACTGAGACTGTTATTTTGTAAGCTAACATCAAATTATGATTGAGGAGTCGAAATTTGCAATTGCGTGAAGTTAGTGAACCAATCAATTACAAAATTTACACCTGATCAAGAAAACATTGAAATAAGATTAGTCAAAGAAACCAATATAAAGAAATTCATGAGAATTTTATTTACGAATTCTTAATAAACTTTCTAGAGTATAAGAGTGTATATAAGCATCAAATCTGGCAAATTTCATGATATCCTAGAAATAATAACAAATCACGTAAAAATCCTCTAATAATAAATGAAAACTACCAAGAAGGAATTTGATCAATGAATCAAATCCCTTTTATTTAGGAAACAACCAAAATACTAAATGAATGACACCTAATCAAATCTGGTTAAGAATTGGTTTTCCACACAATAAATATATATATAAAAAAAAGGGAAAAGAAAAGAGGACCAACCTTTTTTGGTTAGTATGTGACGGAATGTCTCCATCACCCTTAAGAATGAATGTCCTCAAAGTGATTCCTACCTGCATATGGGTACTAAAGTTAAATAATAGGAACAAGACAATGGCTCTGCTCGGGAAAAAAAATCAATGGAGAAAGAGAACGGACATATCAAACACTTTCATTATATGCCAAGTACATTTTCTTTTTCACAGCTGGGTTTTCATATAGATTCATTCTCATAATCCATTAACCAAGTAACCAAAAGATAGAGGCATGATTCAGTTTCTTGGAAGATATGGTGAGGGTATTTGTTCCATGTTTAAAAGCTATGGGAGTCAAGGGTTAAGCCGAGGAGGCAAGGATCACAATCACATACGAGCCTTGTGTGCTATAGTTGTTTATTTTAGACAAACTTGACGCAGAAGACTGAGAAAAGATAAGAAACCAAATCAGCTCGACTAGGATTTACATGACTGATTCAGAATACAAATTATTGCTTACATGCAGAAGGAAATGGAAATTTCTCCAAAAGATATTTACCCTCGTAGTTGTAAACCATAGGAATCACTTAGTAATGGGAAAAAAAAAACAAATATTGCAAAGAATAGGCATTCATATCATTCCTTCACAGAATAGTTTGATGATATGGAAACGAGACAACTAAAGCCTAAGTGAATGAACCATCAAAGCATGTGTGTCCAGTCCACCATAAAATATACACTTACAAAGAGAGAGAGAGAGAGAGGGCATACTTTGAAAGTGGATCATAACCATTCCCTCATCCTTCAGAAAAAATTTAGCTCAGTGTATCCATGAGCATGCGGCAAAAGCTCCTCTACCTCAATCCTTGAACTAGAGTAACTCATGCTTTTCTTCAATCGACCATGGCTTGACTCAACCTCAGCCCAAAATATACCATAAACTGGTCTGTGATCTGAGAACCTAGATTCCACATGGACGTAAGATAATTGGTGGAGGCCTTCTCCATACCACAAGATCCGGTCACACCTTTGCACAAGAAAAAAGAAAGTTAAATTAAGTCAGCACCTCCAGTGGTTTGGTTTAAACATATGTAGAAAGGAGACGGGGAAGGGGGATTTAATACTTCTTTCAATAAGCCAATTTTCTTTATCACACCATCTTTTTTTCTGCATCAGAGCTATGATTGTAAATACTTTATCATTCCTTATGGCAGGAGGCACTTTCTTACCAAGCAGGAGTTCGGCGTTTCTCCTTTGGGTGCATATCATCCCCTGCATATCTATCTGAATTAGTTGAATACTTGTATGTTGGTGGGAAGTAAATCTTTCCTTCATTCCATCCCACAAAAACACGCCCTCTTTTCTGCTCTATCCTTAACTGTGAAGAAAATCATCAATGAAAGGTTTTCTTATTAGATTGATAGTAGTATTTAGGATACGTATTTCAAACCTGTGAAGAAATTTATGGAATTTGTGACAGAACAGTAAAGCATACCTGGTCATTTTCTAACAATGCCCTCCAGTTCTGCATCTCAACTAGTGCCTTGGCAGACCGGTAAGAGAGTGCAATACGATAATTCAAATCCCCAAGCCAAATTATTCGACTGGATTAATAATAAATAGTCAGTATGCAAACATCATAAATAATATTACAATAAACCAATTCAATTTTTCATCAAATCATAATGACTTTATTTCTATATGTTGTTTCAGATCTATTCTTGATCTACTTTCAAATTCCTTTTGTCCCTTATGAATTTCTAATTCATTCAAGTAATCTTAAAGGGAAAAAAAAAAAAAAACTAATTGATGGTAGACTAGCAGAGGCCTTACTCATGCTCAAGGATTGTTTCAGGGGACTTCTTATCAGCTGCATTACCAACTCGCGGAAACCTTGTCTTCTTAAGAATCTCCATGACATCAGAGTTCCTTCTTAGCTCATCACCCTCCTTTTGTCCCGAAGTTAAATGACTACAGATGAAGCAAAAGCTTGTTTGACGCACCGACATACTGACAGATATAGAACCCTGGCAAAACCAAGCCATATGATTTAATCACAAGTGGCTCTGATTCTTGAGGGAAAAGTGATTTATAGGCAAAATAACGTGAAAACTACCATTTTACAGTAAAGTAATACCTTATTTCCGAGATAACCCATCAATCCTCTGCCAATACAAGATACTTTCATGTTTTTGACATGATCTCTCAACTCACTTCTGACCCAAATTGTGAGAAATATGCCAACCATTTGCTTACTAGCCACTAAGCAGTACCTAGAATGCCCAGGCACCCTATATGCCTGTTCATTGGATGCAGATCCACCATAGGACATTGGAAAGTACAATACAGTACTGGGTGAATCTGCAACCCCATTATCATCATCTGAAGAACCCCATCTAGAGTAATCACTAGGCCTGGAGTAATCGCTAGGCCGGGAGTAATCACTAGGCCTATTACTCCATCTATAACTGGAGTCATAGTCACTTGGCCTATTACCAAATATCACCCGATCACAAACACTAAATCGCCTGTGAAGTGGTGGCTGCAAAACCGAGGGGTCATTGTCCATTCTCCAGCTGCTGGTTGTCTGAAATGATCGGCGATGAAAAAAAGATGAATTCTTCTGCCTAGATGACCCCTCAAAATCAGCATCTATCTCAACAATGGGCTGAGGAACAGGAGATGGAGTATAGCATCCCCCACCTCCATTGGTTCCAGGAAGATTGTTTAGAGTCTTTCTTATGAGAGACAACCATTTTTTGGCAGGACCATTGTCTTCTGCCCCCAAAATATTCCCAGCATTCAAAGGAACTATCTCTTGAAACCTGTAAGAAATCACATGGTAAATAAACTATTCTTTGAGCAACGGATCTACAACAGAGTTTGGTAAACAAAACATGAAGATCAAAACTGTCAAAACATACCCAAGGACATATATATCTGCAGGAGGTGAGGCATGAAGCAAATCTTCTAGATTCAAATTACTAGGTGGGGATTTTCCAGCCACATTCCATGTAGTTACAAAAATACTGCTCCAATGGAAAAGAGGATGGTTGGTACTGATGCATCACAAAGGAATACAAGTGATAAACAATTCTTTATAAAATTTAAAATAAAAGATACCTATAATTTTGGACATCTATGATTCGAGGGTGATCAAGATTCATTCTCCCACGCCAGCTTTGCTCTGTATTCTTACTAAACTTTTCTGCACATCAAAGCAACATTTAGAAAATTATTAATAATAAAGACCTCAGCACAATTTCTTTTTAGAAACAGCCAAACAATTCCCCAAAAGCTGGTGAGCTTGGAAACCTGTATTACTCTTTTTGATTGTGCATGGCTCCCTTTCTGAGAAACTAGCCCTGTATTCCACTTCACCTCCTGAAGATTGAAAAACAAAGAGAAACACTGTAATATATCAACCCAAGTTATACATACGAGTTATGACACAGAGCAAAAACTGTAGCCAAAAAAAAAAAAAAAAAGAAACAGAACAAAAATTTAGAAATTGAATTAAAGAGAAGACATCAGAATCTTGAGTACCGATAAACAGAATCCAGGAAAAGATAAACCTTCAATTGACCAAGTAATCCATGATAAGTTGGCATGTTCTGATTGAATAGAGGGAAAATATTCTCTTTACTTTTCACAACCAACCAGTCTACTTCTCTGGCATAAAAGCTTGAGATTCTAAATCCTAACCATTTCTATAGTTGATGAATACTAAAGCAATGGTTGTGAAATCCCAGAAAGAAGCTCAAGTACCCACCTCCGTAAACATGATCATCTGCTTGAAAGTCCTCAGTTTTGCTCTTGATATTGAACCATTTTCTGACCATTTTTTTGGACCATAAGAACTACACCCAAAAATTAAACAAATAATATATCTTTTCCATAAATTTGAGTACGGAGAACCAGAAACTGAAAAAGATGAAGGACAAAATAAAAACCTTGCTTTTCTTGGGTTTCCCATCTATCATTGTTAGACTTCTACTTCATATAGCTCCTAATCACTACAAAAAAGTGTTACTAAAACCCCATAGGCAGCATTCTCCTCGTCCAATTTCTGGGCTTTTTTGCTGGAGTAAAACAAGCTGAGCTTCTTTGGTCCCAGATACTTAACTAAGCAAACAAATATCTTATCTTCGATTGCTCAAAAACAAAGTTAAATTTGAACCAAAGAGAAGGCAACAAGAAATGGAGTTGTCTTAGTTTCCTCTTTCTAGTGCTACTATGTGTATGAAAGCAAAGAAAGTAGCCAAAAACCCAGAAAATATGAAGGTCCAAGTCCAACGACTATAGAACAAGAGAGAGGAATAGGGAAAGCCCTTTAACGCGTGGAAGTGAGATGAGAACAAGGGGTATTCTTAAAGTAGAACAAGAGAGAGAAAGCTCATATGAACAAGCAGCCCCCCGTCTTTCTTTGTTAAACAAAGAGAGCCTCGTTCTCGGTAAAACAGCAGAGTACCGAATTTGAACAGAATAAAATGCAGTTGGGGGAGAAACTTGATGTACGTTATAACGTAAAACACATAATTAGTCGCTTCTACTTCGTGTGGACCGTGGAATTTGATAATGGTACGTTTATATGATATAAAATATTAAAATTGATGTATTTATATTATATTATATATAAAAATTATATTATAATTTATATTAATATAAAAAATATATATTTTTTTTAATTTTATTAAATTTATATATAATTATTGATAAAATTTTAAATAATTTATATTTATATTTTTTTTTGTTTTTGTGTCGTGTTATTTATTATATTTTAAATTATCAAATTTATGTAAATATTTTAAAATAATTACTTAATTATTAATTTTTTAATTTAATAATTTAAATTTGAATAAATAATTTTTTTATTATTTAATTATTAATTTTTAATAATATATTGATGTGACATTATTACGGTAGCCATTATGTGTCACTTGACACTATAATATTATTTGATATATTACATGGCATTACACATTATGAATGTGAAAATAATGTGAAAATGTTACATGATATTTAATAGTTGATGTAATAATATTATATTAAAATATTATTAAAGATTAATAATTGAATAATAAAAAATAATTACTTAAATTTAAATGATTAAATTAAAAAATTAATAGTTAAATGATTATTTTAAACACACATCTTAGTTGAGTTATTAATGTATTTACCCCTATGCTTTTTATGTTCCCTCAAATATCAAGGTAATTCCAACATCACAGGGCAAGGGGCGGGGGGTCAAAGTCGTTTGGTTCCATGTATTGTATGTTAAAACGAGAACGTCTGGTTAAGGGAAATACTGCCCGGGTCAGCAAAGTGTTTAAGGGTAGTAACTGGTAAGGCATCTACCATGCCCCTCCACTGGCAGCTGTCTTTGAACCCCCTTTCTCTTCTTTAAACTCATCCCAATTTATGGTCTTCCATCAAGCTAGAAACGCAGTTAAGGAAAAAGATAAAAAGAGAATGCTTAGTAGAAGTCGTACTACTGCATTTTGTTTCCGTCTCTTTCTCTCTTTCGTATTTTATTTTGGGTTTTTTATTTTGTTACATTTGATGCATTATTGGTTTATAGATTCAGTTTATTATACATCATGTGTTTAATTTATAATATTATGATAGAATAAAATAAGATAATAATATCAAAGTCATGTTTGATGCATAAAATTATTGATATGATAAAATGATAATTATTTTATATTATATTTGATTTATATCTAAAAAGAAAAATAACGATTGCAAGAAAGATTAATATTCTTTTGACATAGGATTATTTGATCTTCTCCAAGTGGAGAGGATTATTTTTAACATTAAACTTACATGTCTAATTATATCATTAAAAATTACATTAATAATTTAACTTGTATAAATTTTGAAAAAAGATAATTTTGATTGATAAATAAATTATTGTCATAACGTCTAGATCTGGGGATCTATCGTTAGACATTGACTTGAAGGAGTCGCCACCAATTTTTTTTATCTATGTGCGATTGATCACCTAAATTATCTGTCTTTTCAGGGAACACCTAAATTTAAGGGGTCCTTAAAAGAATAGGTTCAGGTTTACTAACCAGAACAGGGTTCGGGAGTTCGGTTACATATGAAGAAGGTTATAGCACCCTCACAACGCCCATAAAAGATGGTACCAGCTTAAATTTGTATTATCCAATGAGCTTTAAAAATTTACCAAGTAATTAATTATTGAAAATTATTCTCAATTGACTCTAATACTTTTAACAGAAAATTGAGAAAATTCTCTCAACTCAAGAGTATGCAAGAAAACTACTGTTTCACTTACAAAGGCTCCATCGTTAGATTATTTAACATTAAAAAATAAAAAGAAAAAAATGATTGTTTTTGTGCAGGAAAAATTGATACTTTCAACTTTTCCTAAAAAAAAACATTTTTTGAAAATTTATTTTTAAGGAAAATTGATACTTTTAACTTTTTCTCAAAAAAAATCTTTTTTGAAAATTTATTTTTAAGAAAAATTGATACTTTCAACTTTTCCTCAAAAAAAAATATTTTTTAAAAATTTATTTTTAAGGAAAATTGATGCTTTCAACTTTTCCTCAAAAATATTTCTTTTTGAAAATTTTTATTTTTTGCAAAAAATAAAAATAAAAATAAAATAAAATACTTCTGAAAATAACTAACACATAAAAAAACAAATAAATAAATAAATAAAATACTCAAAATATATATATATATATCTTGACTTGAGGAATTCGACGCGGCTCCACTAGATTGTCCATAGCCTTCACCAATTTGACATGATCTCTCCCATTCTCCACGAAAGAAATAATGGCTTGAAGTGTTGCTGAAACACCAACTAGTTTGTGTTCATCACTACATCTGAAATTTATTGGTTTGTCAGAATTACTCAAAATAAAGAAGTACTTTTTCTGCTTCTTCCAGACTATCTAAAGCATTATCCTCATCGACGTGCTGTGGCGGTGCCATTGGTTAGGGAGAAAATCAGAAATATGTTGCAGGGACCCAAGGTCTCTATTATTTCTGATATGACGTGCCATGAGAAACTTGGTTGCGGCAAGGTTGGGAGAAAATCAGAAATATTGGCAGACCCAAAGTCGTTCTATTAATTTTTGATGATGGCGTACCCGAACTTGTGCCAAGGTTGGCCATTGACAGGTGATCCAGCCTTGCGGGGTATAGCCTTGCCTTTCTTAAGATTTGACTCAAGACTATAGGGGTTAGCCGCTAATGTTTGACCAGCAAGCATTCGTGATCTCCCTCGTTGGGTAACTTCGTTTTGGCTCGAGAGGGTGCCCCCAGCACCTCGGTCTATAGGGATGCCCCAAGGGTTTTGATTTTGCGATAGACCATGATCCTGGACGGGACTTTCAGGATTTGGGGATGATCTATTCTTAGACTGAGACAACTCTTGCACAAGATTTTTACCATAATTCGGAACGGGAGGTAATTTCTTGCCAGATCGTAACTCCATCTGGTTGACTTGGGCTATTTCTTCAGAAATCGTCAGGCGCAGACGCTTTGTTGGGGTGAATTTTTAGTAATGCAGCATGAATCTCCTCTTCTGTGACATCACTCACAAGAGCTTCATTCATTGTGGGTGTAATACCCGAGATATACCACTCACTGCTTCTGTAATATTTTACGGACTGCAGGAAGTGAAAATGGTGGAAAAAGAGTCATGTATCACACCCTGAATACCCTCATGATCCTCCTTCCACATACCACTGTCATAAAAACCAATCCCTGAATTTGATTATGCCTTCGCCTCTGAACACACAAAGCATGGAAAGAACTTGTCTTTTTATCACCAGCTTGAAGCCACTGAACCCGAGATTGACATCTCCAGAATTCCTCTTCCCTCTTAAGGTCCTGCTTCAATGATTTCGCCTTTACATGGTCATACACGGGCTGTCTAGCTAGCTTCTCCATTTCAGCAGCTCAACCCGAGGTTCCAAGCTATGTCACATCTGTTGTTTGCTCAGAGGGCAGTCACAGGCACGTCACGATTGGCAAATGCGATGTCTTGGTCTTTAAGCACTTTTCGGGTCATGGAAGGGGAGATCACCCACCAAAGAGAGGCCTTGAAGGCCAAATGGAGATAGGGCTTCCCCCTTTGTTTTTGCTTCTCCCTCTCCTATTCGGATTCTTCTTATATCTTTTTCCTGTTTTTTTATTGCTGCGAATTGTAATGATATATAAAACCAAGTGATTGTGTTTCAGTTTAATTCCCATTAGTCATCCAATGCTAAAGATTAGCATCTAATTATCCTTTCTGATCATCATCAAACTTAATCTCAATCTTTCTTTTTTTTTTTTAAATAATCAGATAATGAAAATAGAAAAAGAAAATAAACAATAAGTAGACCATGAGATAAAAATTAAAAAATGATAAATGATAAATATGCAATAAAAATCTAGAAATAAAAATAAAAAAATAAAAAAATTTACAATCGAGCTTAGACCAATTTTAATTAACAAATGATCCCGGACAAAATGGGATGTCTACAATTATCATATCCTAAGTCTTGCAGATATCAAACACAAAATATGATGACATTATTTAATCTAATCCTATACATAATATTATCTTATTCTATCATATCATAATCATGTTTATCAAAAATGATCTTTAATAATATTATATTAAATAATATCATTTTATCTTGTATTTATGTGTGTAAATATTAGGATAAGATAATTTATTTATTTGTCAAAATTATCTTTTTTCAAAATTTATACAATTTAAATTATTAATATAATTTTTATGAATATAATAAAATATGTAAATTTAATCCTATGGATTAAAAATAATCTCTTCAATTTGAGAAGATTGAAGCATCCTATACCGAGAGGATGATTAATAGTTCTCTGTGTAATCCTATCTCTTTTTTTAGATATAAACTAAACATAATATAAGATGATTATTATCATATCTTATCTATTATCCTATGTACTAAATATAACTTTAATGAATTATTAAATATTATCTCATCAATAAATTTTTGTGTATTTGTTTAGTATTTATATTTTTTTGTATGCAAGGAAAGTCATAGCTTAAGAAAGAGAAAAGGGTTAAAGTGTTGGGTTCAAAATCTAAATTTTCTAAATGTTATTTTTTAAGAATAATTATATAAATTAATTAAATTAAATTTTAAATTTATATTTAATGTACTCACTTTGTATAATACTATACACCTCATTAAAATTTAATTTTGAACGTATTTTGAGGATTAAGTGTATTTTTTTTAGATTTTAAAAATTTTAAATTAAGTTTTTTTTTTACAAAATATCATTGTGTTCATTAACAATGTATAATATTTATATACTAACATCAAATATAAACTCTTTATTTAAAGGGTTTATAAGAATTTGTATTGAATCATTGATAAAATAACATCATCTAATTCTTTTATACATAAAATATTATCAAATATAAATTTTTTGTTTTATTCTTTTCTGGCTATGACAACTTGGAAAAAACTGTTTTTGTTTAGGGAGGCTGTTACTATTAGTGTTGGTGCATT